TGTCACATGCAACAGTCACATTCAGTCTACTTAACTCCAAGGTAACCAGAGAAGAAACGAAGCCGTACTTCAAATTTATGATCCTCATGCTGCGTCGTCAAGGAGGGTCCACGGTGACACGCGTCGTCGACAAGGATGGTCCACGGTGACACGCGTCGTCGACAAGGATGGTCCACGGTGACACGCGTCGTCGACAGGGAGGGTCCACGGTGACACGCGTCGTCGTCAAGGAGGGTCCACGGTGACACGCGTCGTCGACAAGGATGGTCCACGGTGACACGCGTCGTCGACAGGGAGGGTCCACGGTGACACGCGTCGTCGACAGGGAGGGTCCACGGTGACACGCGTCGTCGACAAGGATGGTCCACGGTGACACGCGTCGTCGTCAAGGAGGGTCCACGGTGACACGCGTCGTCGACAAGGATGGTCCACGGTGACACGCGTCGTCGACAGGGAGGGTCCACGGTGACACGCGTCGTCGACAGGGAGGGTCCACGGTGACACGCGTCGTCGACAGGGAGGGTCCACGGTGACACGCGGGCGACCCAGTGACGCGTGTGAGGCGAGCAAGAGTGCTGGCGAAGGAGGGCCTCCAGCAGGGTGGGGTGAGCGGGCCAGGGAGGTCACACGACACTCGGGCCTACAGTCATAGAACAGTCGGGCGTGAAGGTCCCTGGGAGGTCGAATTGCTGAGGAGCGGCCCTTCTGTCCACCGAGTCTATAAGGGAACGCTTGAGGACTGGAAGGACCCCGACAATGGGCGTCCAGAACTACGCAGTGGGTCGGTAGAGCGCTGGCCGGCCAGTTCTTGTGGAGAACAGTGCCGGGGTGCCACGGTGGTCTTGGTGACGGGGGTGCCAGGACAGACAAGTAGGAGGACACCCCCCAAGGACTACCTAGTAACACCACCAAGAAATGTGGCACTCTGGGGTCAGTTGCCTCTGCCCGAAACGCTGCGCGTACTAGTGGTTTTACAAGATTGTAAATACCATGCTATGTATCCTCATAAACCCAATGTACCTTCTTGTATATAAATATATAATAAATAAATAATAATAAAATAGTTTGTCAACTGCCTCGTTAACTCCCAAGCCAGGTGGTCCACTACCTCGTTCGCTAACCCTTGAACAGCATCAGTGTTGCCAGGTAACGGTGATAATTACACCTGCTGAGAATATCCAAAAACAAAATGATGACAATCACTGTCATTATTTCAACATTATTCATACTGCGATGGCACACGTCAGACTGATCGTTCACTCATAAATTACTTCGAATTATATTTGTACATCGTTACGACTGTTTTCACATTAATTAGGACTTTTCATAGACGATAAGTATTAACAGGTACCGACAGGTAAAAAGCTTACTTCGGTTCTTAACTCTTGTTCATGTGTAACAATCACGGGACTAATACGAGTGTATTTATCAACACACCAAAATTGCTCAGTCTTTTATTTAAATAAATTAATTAAGCCTTTCTCGTCAGGTAGTATTGGTAACAGAGGATCGGACAAAATTTATTACAGAAAACGGAGTTACAATTTAAAAGGGTAGACTTGAATTTTACCACGAGGCAGCACTCCGAGGGGTGGGGGAGATATTTTTAATTTCCAATTTGGCATGACCGTCGTAGTGCGAATACTTCAGGACGACAGGCACTGCAGAGCTCTCTTCCTACGACTGTTAACTATACTTCACGGATGGTCCGTGACGCGGGCACCATGGAGGTGGTGCAGAGGGACAAGGAGGGGGGGGAAGCTGGGAACTATATAGTGACAAGGGGGGCCTGGGAACTATATAGTGACAAGGGGGGCCTGGGAACTATATAGTGACAAGGGGGGCCTGGGAACTATATAGTGACAAGGGGGGCCTGGGAACTATATAGTGACAAGGGGGGCCTGGGAATCATAGTAACAAGGAAGGCCATGGAGGTGGTGTACAGTAACTGGTGAAGGCGACTCATGCATATCGTAATAATTGATCAATAGTAGGAGGTGGTGGGACACGTGGTGGCCCTGACCACGCCGTCACCACCACACCCACACCACGCCGCCACCGTCACCACCACACCCACACCACGCCGTCACCACCACACCCACACCACGCCGTCACCACCACACCCACACCACGCCGCCACCGTCACCACCACACCCACACGGTGTTGACGTGAGACTCACGTCACCGGCCCGTACAACATGACCCACAGTTGCCAACTCTTCCCTCACATCAACTGGTCGTAATTTATCGTTGTTGGGGCCCCGCGGCCTGTACTTTGGCTGATCCAGGTCTCCCGAGACCAACCTCTGACCTTCCCTGCCTGGGCTGTAACCCACGACAGTGTCTTGACTCGCGATCACCTGTTTACTGCTAGGTGAACAAGTGCATAAGGTGAAAGAAAACGTGCAAAAAAAACGGTCTATATTCTGCCCTTGGTTGTGGGACGACGACGTAGGCAGCTACGCTACAGGAGGCTCTACTGTCTCTCAAATGACAACGATGCTAGTAAACAATACAGGGAAACTTATTGCAACAGGGTTCGAGTCCCAGGAGGGACAGAAATAGTTGGGCACATGTTTTTTACCTAATGTCTCTGTTCACCAATCAGTTAATAGGTACTTGGGAGATAGGCAAACCTTGGAGAGGATCATCGATACATACCTACTATTATATATATATATATATATAGTTCGAACGAAAGTTCGAAAGTTCCCTTCGGGAATCTTAATTTAAAGATAAACAGGAACATGATTGACAATACGAACATCTTTGTTTAATTAAAATATTTGATTTTCAATTAAAATCAAAACGTTTCGAATACTCATTAGAATTCATTAACAGGTCTTAAATACAGAAAAATTGAATTAAAATCAGTACTGTAAGAGATGAAAATATCACAATTAAAATAGAACACCTAAAAATAAAAAAAACACTTAAGTCAACTTACGTGATGCTCAAACAGAGTAAGATCTGATGACATTCAACACTCACAATCCGGACTAAATAAAAATCACAATTAAGATTCTAAAGATTCAAAGATTTTATGCAAGACTAATTTACAAATTAAATCAATAATTATCGAGTTACTCATGTCACACTTTACAAGGAAACAAATATTATACAATAATAGAAACCCAATTGCTATATTTTATTACACATTTTAAACAGATAATTATAAAGCCCATCCTACTTCAAAAAGAGAGCACCAACAACACAACTCAAGGGGGAACTAAACAATTATAAAATATAATGACGCGCAAATGAGACATGCGCGGAGCGACAACTTGATGACGTTTGACATCGTATACAATTGGACAGTTGAGGCATTATTGTTTAACAGCGGCCGGCCGCAGCTCCCTGGTATATAAAGACTCCATAGTTCCCAGGTCAGACTGTCCACTCACGCACCAGTCCAAAATGTTAAAAGTTGGACTCGTGTAAACATCGACCATTCTCATGACAGTCATTCTTACTTTCTGAAAAAGCGATGAAATTTCTGAAAAGTTTCTATGAACAGCCTCAATAGGGTAACATTCCAGAAGCAATTAATCGCTGCCCAGCTGGAATGTTAAACTTTCCCTGGCTGCTGTTACAGCACAGAGGAATGAGTGAGCCACGCTCACGTCACATCAATTGTCAACAACATTGCCCAGGAAATAAACATTTCATTCACCTGGGCACTACGAGACTCGAACCCCCAACCCTACGAGCGGGAGACAGGAGCTCCATCTACTATACTATCAACATTAAGGAAAGATTCCAGAAGCAACTAAGCAGAGTAGTGGACAGGTCGGTCAAAATATATACATGAAAAACAGATTACTTGATAACTGATTTGGAACCCCCTTATTGTGCATATGTCGGCCGGAGACCCAAGCATATTAGTGGAATTCAAGGTGGCAGGACTCGTGCAATGCAACACGGGCAACAAACAAGTTCAATTGCACGATACCTCCGTCCTGGGAACAGTATTGCCAGCCAACAACATCAGCTGGTCTCTAGACCAGCGTTGCCAACCAACAAGGACATACATTCGTAGCATCTCTAATTCATCTCACGAGGAACCTGTTCTGGGTGCAGACTCCGGAGGTGTGACGCGAGACCTTTGCCACTCCAGACCCATACATTTGTCTGAGGAACAAGTCAGTATTGAGAGGCAATATTTGCGCACGGGAGGAGCCAGTCAGAAGCCGGCCGTATCTCACCAACCGCGACGTGTCCCCCCGGTTCACCTCTCAAGTGGTGTGAGCAATGGTCCTCGGGCTGCCGCAGGTTAACTTGATGTCTCAACACTATTCGTAACACCTCAGATTGCAGAGCTCTGTATTGCAGAGCCCCGCATCGCACAGTTCAGCTCTGTATTGCAGAGCCCCGCATCGCACAGTTCAGCTCTGTATTGCAGAGCCCCGCATCGCACAGTTCAGCTCTGTATTGCAGAGCCCCGCATCGCACAGTTCAGCTCTGTATTGCAGAGCCCCGCATCGCACAGTTCAGCTCTGTATTGCAGAGCCCCGCATCGCACAGTTCAGCTCTGTATTGCAGAGCCCCGCATCGCACAGTTCAGCTCTGTATTGCAGAGCCCCGCATCGCACAGTTCAGCATGTAAAAATTTATGAATTCGTCTGTGGGGTCGACCGCTGGATGTAATGGACTTGAGTCAAGGACGGGTTGGAACCATGTACTTCAAATAAAAATAATCGCCAACAGAACCTAAACACCTAAGGTAATCTAACCTACGCCTAACTATACATAGAATTGTTATGTATACCAATATTAATTTATATATGAGAACAAACCAATTTTTAATACACAGTACGTGAAATTGACGAATTCGTCTGGTGAGGATGGCCGCTGCTTTAAACAGCCTAGTGTAAGGACGGGTTGTAAGATTGATGAATGCGTCATTGGGGGTCGACCACTGGATGGGATGAACCTACACTGAGGATGGGTTACAAATACATAGTAGAGGAGGTGGGCATTGTACAGCAACGTTGACTGACCTCGAGGAGCGCGGGGAGCGTGGTGTTGTGGTACTCCTGGAGCATGCCGTTGGTGGCGTGCAGCTGCTGAATGTACGCGTTGTGGGCATCGAAGTAGTTAGCGAGAGAGGCGTTGTTCTGGGAGCGACAGTGGCTCTGGTAGGCCTCGCTGTAGTCCCGGCGACACTGTCCACCAGCAACAGTAAACTCTTATTACTACACATCTTAACCATCAACATATAAGAAATATTTATAATTCGAAGGTTGTCGTGTATGTGTAGATTATGAACATTACTGAACAACGTGAACAGATGTCACTACCGCTCAGCTTGAGCTGGGCGACTCCACGAGTCTACACAGTCCACGTCTGTAGACCTGACCAAGTGTAAACTCTGTTGGAGAATGTATGAATAGTTGTGCTATCACAGTAATATGATGTTCAAAACAATTAAATAACTATGCCGAAGGAATGTATAAATATTAAATTTCAAATGACATTATACCAGCAATCACAGTCAAGTCACCCCAGGTTAGCGAGCACACGACTAACCTTCCCCAGTGCAGACACTCTGGCACACAGCGATGAACTGACAGGTTAGGAATGAAGTTGGGAAATAACACAAATTTTCTCCCATCTTGAGTATACACCACTCACCACACCACTCACCACACCACTCACCAGTCTTTTACCATTTATGCGAATTATGGAGACGGTACAGAATGACGGGAGAAAACTCATCTCTTGTCTTAACCCATTTCTGTTGATTCATCAACACACCAGAACCTTCAGAATACTATGTATGGCGGCCGTCACCTTACAGTTCAGTATAACAACAATTTTGTAAAGGTTCCCTACTTGGCTGAAGTTTGCGGATATCTCGAGATTGAGCACCACAACACAAGACGCTCAGCCATCAGCGGCCACACGGCTGGTCTGCCATTTGTCAAGAACCTCACTCCATGAGCGACCATCCATTCCTAGTCTGACGCACACATACAACATACTCTCCCAGCACGTAGAAACACGTGATGGCTGCGGCTCACATTTGGTTCCAGTCTCAGCCAGTACCTAACATGATTTTAACTTAACATTAAATGAAGTTTATTTCTAATCAATAGCAAATATTTAACTCATTAACAGATCAGTCTCAGGGGCCAGGCTTCACAACAGCTGATGTAGGATAACAACATTCAATAGCTCTCAGCTTAAAGTTTCACAAGTAACATCAGTACTATTCCAAATGAACCAAAGTTCAGTTCAGACGTGGCACAATTGAGAAGTGTCATGGTGTGCCAAGGAAGGTGTCACACACACTGTGTCAGTGAGTAAACACACAAGGATATAGAGTGCCAGGAAGGCGACATCTGCGCCACTAACTGGAGCAGGCGTGCCAAGCTTGCTACACATCGTGAGAACAAGACTAGTTTAATATTTGATACAATTATAACTGTCTGCTACAAGGAGGTGCCTCTCGGTCAATACACCTTCCCCAGGTAATGGTAACAGGTGGCCCGTGTGGTGCCAGCAACAGGTGGCCCGTGTGGTGCCAGCAACAGGTGGCCCGTGTGGTGCCAGCAACAGGTGGCCCGTGTGGTGCCAGCAACAGGTGGCCCCTGTGGTGCCGGCAACAGGTGGCACGTGAAGTGCCGGCAACAGGTGGCACGTGTGGTGCCAGCAACAGGTGGCCCGTATTGTGCCAGCAACAGGTGGCCTGTATGGTGCCAGCAACAGGTGACACGTATGGTGCCAGCAACAGGTGGCCCCTGTGGTGCCGGCAACAGGTGGCACGTATGGTGCTAGCAACAGGTGGCACGTATGGTGCCATCAACAGGTGGCACGCATGGTGCAAGCAACAGGTGGCCCGTGGCTTGTTAATCCTGAAACCGTTGCTCCTTGTATCCGCTACATCTGACCTTTTAAAGAATTGGTTCAGATTAATATCCTCCAAATTGTCCAGCATTTTAAATTTTCGATGAGATGAGCCTTGTCATGTCTGGTTTATGGTGGTGTTAGCCTTGTGGCCCTCAACTTTTCCTGATATGAGAGTCCATTTATTTCTGGGATGATTTTTGTCGTCCGGTGTTGAACATTCTTCAAAGAACCTGTGTCCTTCTGAAGACGAGGTCTCCATGTTTGGATACAATTGTTCAAATGGAAGTGTACTAGAGATTTGAGCAGTTGAATAATTACCTTCTTTTCTTTGAAGTCAAAAGGTCGTTTTATTAGTCCTAAGGTTTGGTTGGCAAATCTTTTTACTCCAACTGCATTTGCAACTTTCAGTGATTGGTCGATTGTGACCCCAATTAAATTAAAGTTCTTTTCTTCATCAATCTGTCGCAAGGTAATTATTGTATATCTTCTGGTAAGTGGTTCCATTTGTTTGTCACAATTAAAAAAAAGGCATTAAGCTTCATTACCTGAAATCTTTTTCTAGCCATTTAAAGATATTGGTAAGAGTGATGTCACTGACAAATATCAAGCCCAATGTTGCACAGGAGCCTCCACGCCCGGCTATCCCAGTAGAGAGGACACGCCTCACTGGCTCACTCGTGTTTAGTTATGAACGCTTTACATGACGATAAATTTGACAGCCAGCCCACGAATCTGAAAATAAAGGAACAAACGAAGTTTCGGTCCTGTTTTGGACATTATCAAGTCGTGTTATTTTTGTTTCGTTGGGGCCTCGGATGGACTTATTTGATCATATAGATCATATTTGAAGGTGTTTCATTTGATCAACGTTTGGAAGCTCCTGAACTGGTGTACCAAGAGATGAACACAACCACCAAGAAATAGAAAAAAGGTTTTCATGCCAACGCATCTACTTTCAAAATTGTTTTCTTGTAAATTTGTTTACAAATAGACCTGGGCACAAGCAAACCAATTTTGGAGACGGCTCCAGCGCCAGCAATATCACCAACAAAGTTTTACGGCTTATCTTCGATCTCCCGCGCATGGCTGTAAGGAAATATTGCCGGATACGCCACCTTCAGTTTATTTTGTCCAAGCATCCATCAAAGGAGACGGATCAGGATACCAGCTAACAGCACCCTTGGATCTGCCTGGCAATATCTATAACGGGGACGTGTGACGCCGTCACAGCATCCCCACGCATGCGTACTTCCCTTCCTTCTACCCTCAACTTATACGTCACTTTCTGTCTCCTCATTACAATACCCCCGTCAATATATATACAGCCCCTTCCCTGTTTTCCCACACCTGTCTCGTAGCTTTCCTTATTCCTTCTACGTTGATTCAGTTACCGTACATACACCGCTTATCTCCATCAATCTCTCTCTCTCTCTCTCTCTCTCTCTCTCTCTCTCTCTCTCTCTCTCTCTCTCTCTCTCTCTCTCTCACCTTCTTCAGCATGTCCTCGGTCTTGGCCAGTATGGTGTCGAAGCTCTCCCGGTGGGTGAAGACCTTGCGCGACTGTATCTTCCTGTAGAAAGTCTTTTCGATAAGCGGACGGGACACCTGCCTGTTGAGAGTTCCTGCTACGTCAGAGTGGATTTGTGAGTCGACCTCAACCTCCTGCAGGAGCGTCTCCCACGCCTGGAACATCTGGTTGGGGCACGGGGGTCTGCGGGGAGTGATCACGTGTTACTGCACCTGTTCACCAGGCCTACTGTGGGGAAGAACTTGTGTTTTTTTATAGAATAAGAAAATATAAATGCAAAATAGTCATTCAAGTGCATAACCTTGGAAAAATGTAATTAGTTAAAAAAAGCTCCAAAACTGGTTTTAGAAGTCCTGAAGATGGAAGACTCTTGTACCACCTTAGCTTACCATTTTAAAAGCACGACAATCACCTTCTGTGGTTGATTGTTCAATAATTCATTGAATTATATGTTTAACAGATTTCTAACCCTGTTGGTGGAGGACAGAGGAAAATGTATATATGCTGGTTAGCAATGTATATGTGTGACCACGTCTGTGGTAGAAAATAATAATAAAAAAAATAATCTTCCCCCACCCTAGTCTCGCCCCCTGTAGGCCCCCCTCCCGCTCATAACCCCCCCTCCTCCCCCCCCCCTCCCTCACCATCACCATGCCCTGTGGAAGGCAACAGACAGTATAACGTTCACATCTATATAAGTAGGGAAAGTGTAAGTAGACTCGGAGAGTGAACATCACCAGACTCTACTTGACCAGATGGTAATCTTTACCAGCTCTTAAAAACATTGTAGTTGGACTACAAATCCCCAACGTCAAAATATGATGTAGTATGAATCACAGCGGCTCGATAAATTGATGGGCTGTTACGTTTTCTATTCGTGGGTCCTCGGCAAGGTTAGGTTCGGGCAATTTAGTACATCGTTTGTGTGACGTTGTGGCAACTGGTGAGGACGGTCAGCTCGAGCGGCACGTCCTCTTAAACTGCCACTCCGTAGTGGCATACATATTTGTAAACAAATCGCAGCGAAAACGTAGATATTTGTGAACCGAAACCTTGCTCAATACGTTGCATACGATAACGTATGAAAAGCGACCTATTAGTTGAGAGGACTAGCTGCAGCTTGTTCTCTTGAGTTACCAATCTGTAAACAAATCCAGCCGTGGAGGCAACACTAGGAGAGAGGAAGACGCAGCCTTGTGGCGGGAGGCCGATGACTCAACCTTAGATGTGGGGCCACATGTGCTTAAAAAGAATGTCTTATGGTCTTCGAACGTAAAAAAGAATGTCTAAAATACTGAAAGCATTCTTTGGTAATACCCCTATAAGCCATGGCTAGCTTAACCTTAAGTGGACATTTGTCCACAATCACGACGTGCATGGATTATGGGAGCTGTTAAGATGTGGTTACAACCAACATGGGAGGAACGCTTAGGTTGTGAGGCTGTCGGGCTGGTTGGCCTCCACTGGGGTGATGGGCTCTTACACAGAGGCCACTTCAGGACGTCTTGGTCGGGTATTGGGTGGGTAGGAGAGAGGTGTAGGGATAGAAGAGGAAGGACGAGGGAGGAGAAGGAGGAGAGAGGAAGGACGGCGAGCTTTGCTATCTGAAGTCTCGCACTTAACCAAAAATCAATCGTTGAACGGCCACTTGACACTGCCAGCCCGCACAGCTGACAACGGGGACGCCGCCCCAGACACGGGTTCACTTATTTGGAAATGGAAATGTAAAAAAGAATGCGAATGTATTGAACTTTTACACTCGGACTCTTACTATAAGACGACACCTCAGCCTCGTATCAGGATTGAAGTCCAGGAGCCATTTTGCAAATCACATCTTTGGCATATCCAGGTTTTCTTGCAGTATGCCTCAGTCCTCTTCTATCCAGATCATGATTATTACCTCCACATCGCTGGCAAATATGAAAATGAACGCATCTTTTATCAGTCGGGTCGACGATCTATTTTAGAAACAGACCAAACAACTAATCATCGTCTTTTCTGACTATTTCGCAGTGTGACAATCTGATTCAACACTGATAGGTACTCCCTTCTTACCCATCCGAGTACTTTTACAGTTTCTCTCCTGGTTTTGTAAACCTTGCATAAGTCTCCTGTGTGAGATCAGCGTCGAATATTGTTTTGATGAACGAGAAAGACACGGTCTGGCCGCACTTTCTCCTGCTACATAACAGTCATCATGACGTACACCGTTGATATGTCAGGCATGACTTCTCTTCCCTGAATCCTTGTTTATGCTTACATAGTTAAGTTGTTCTACATGATCCAGAAGGTACTTTACGATTAAGCTCTCAGGGACTACGGAGAGGGAGGGTGGGAATTATCAGGAGAAAGCGCCAAGGCATTACGACTATATAGCACTTGGAAGAGATCAGGATAAGGATTAGGATCACACTTGTGTGTAGCGCAATGATTATCATCCTGAATATTGTAGCTCGGGGATTTAAACAGGGATGCTGCCGCATCATACAGGAGCCACGGTATAGATCTCGTTTACTCCTGTGACATTCGGGTAATCCAGCTACTTTAGCTGGATTAATTTTAGCTATTTTTTAAATGGATTTAGTTTTTTCCGTTTTCTGTTGCTATCACTATTGCACGTAATCTTACTTTGGGTGCTGCCTGCTCTAGTACGTACAAGGGTAATTAATTTGGTACGCTCTACACCTTGCCATTTTCCGTGTACAGGAAGACTTCCCTGGATAGAGCTCTGTATCAGTTCACCGTGGGTTTTGGCTTAAGTGTTCAGAGCCCTAGTAAAATTTCCGAAGGTAGCGCTTAATTGTCGCCAATCTAGCATATAACGCTGGTTAACAGCGAAAGTGTTAATAAGTGACACAGTAGACAGGCTTGGCGTGTCATCGTCGTCAGTCTTTTTCTCCGTCTGACTCCAAGAGAATTGTCCTTCCCATCTGGTACCGAACACCTGGCCTCCGGTTCCCAATGCCCATCCTCATAACTTTACATTTCTTGCGTGTAAATAACAGACACTTCTTAAAGTGTATTCATCTAGTTTGTCAAGACCCGTAATTTCTTGCATTCTTCCTCTCTGTGCATGTTCATAATATTAGCATCAACTGCAAACACTGACATATTGGAGTCTAGATCCTCTGGGAGAACATTCACATGAACCAGGAACAAGGTAGGACCCTCCGAATTATGTCTCGCTAACGGTAACTCTTCCCTCACCGTAACTGTGCAACGAGTGGGGCACTAGTGGCTTCTGATGTGTCCAGAAATATGCAGTCTGTTTATACTACTGTCCTGTCTGATGTATGATGTCCTCTCACAGAATACTGTCACCTGTGTGAGGCAGGAGTTGTCACAGCTGTTGGTATTGCTTTATGAAAGCTTTTATCTTAGTATTTTTGAAGATTATATATAATATATATATATATATATATATATATATATATATATATATATATATATATATATATATATATATATATATTATATATATATATATATAATTTGACCAATATTTGACCTCTTCTAGCTTCTTGGTAGCTCCCTTGCCTTCATAACTTGTTATATATATATTAATAAGTGAACAACTCAGTTTCATGTACACTTAGTAAAGGCGATAAGATCTTCTGAGGAGCCACGATACCTCTTGTATTCAACCCAAGCAAGTACTTCATTTAAGAATATCGGTAGACTCAAAGTCCTTCAGTGCCACTTGACCTGAAACACGCCTCTAAGGTCACGCGGCTTCTCTTCCTCTATTGGGAAGACCTCTTGTAACCATTGGTTCTTTATGCAACTCAGGATGCTCTCTTGCACTTCCTCTCTTGCTTTGCTTCATTATCTGCTGCTTTAATTTCCCTCTAATTTCTACTTATAAATGTTCAGTCCACAACTACCAAGCATTCAATGTATTACTACCAAACGTTCAGTTCATTACACGGGGAACGGCGAATGGCTGACTCAATTTTATTACACAAAATGGCTACGTCTGCTGCCTGATCCTATGACACTGGATGCTGCAGTGGCTGGGTGATCCTATGACACTGGATGCTGCAGTGGCTGGGTGATTCTATGACACTGGATGCTGCAGTGGCTGGGTGATCCTATGACACTGGATGCTGCAGTGGCTGGGTGATCCTATGACACTGGATGCTGCAGTGGCTGGGTGATCCTATGACACTGGATGCCGCTCCGTTTGACTGAACCTATGATCCAGGATGCCCTGCTAGCAGCTGATCCTATGATGCAGGGTGGGCTACCTGTTAGCTAGTCCTATGACCCTAGGGGGGCCTAACGATACCTGGTCCTATGATCCTGGGTGTCCGCCAGCTGGCTGGTTCTATGATGCAAATTACGACACCAACTACGTAATCCTATGCCCCAGGGAACCACTCCGGCTGCACGATCCTATGATCCAGGATGATCATAGGATGGCTCCCCATGCAAGGGGAGCCAGCTGGCTTATCATGGCCGCTACGCTCCTCTCAATTTACGGAACTTATCTAATGCCTTTTACTTGACTAACGGCTGGTTGGATTATCGAAATTTGAGAATTATTACGCACCGATTATCGGCTGAATGGATCGTTCCGGAAAGCTGAAATTGGGTTATTAACGAACGGTTAAACAGATTTAACTTTCCGATTCGTGTGAGGTAGAGTAGTACCCTGGTTGTGGGAAGCCTGAAGATCAAGCAACATGTGTGTGGGAAAATTAGCAGTTTATTTTAATGTATTTATTATGGTGTGTATCTGTACTAATACAAGTACAAGATAATACACATTATCTGTGTATTGTGAGGAGCAAGAGTTGAACACGGGGAGTTGTGGTATGTATGAGGCGAAAGCGCTAAGCCAGTAGGTTTAGAAAAAAATGCATGGAAGGGATATGAGGATAAGGAACTGGAATATGAGGACGCGGATAAAACAACGGGGCATCGAACGCCGACCCTGCAAGAAGCGAAGCCATCGCTCTACCGACCAGTCCAATTGCATGGGTTTAAACACAGACTAGAGCACAATCTTCTGGCGAGTTACCAGACCCTTGTTTACCTCGGTGGTCTAAGGACCAGGATTAATCAAGCAACCACTAACGAAATCCGTACATATTTCCTTAATCATGGCGGCTTTGTTTACCTTAAATGTCAAGTGTGAGCTCGGAAGTATTCCAAGGTTGTGGGCGTCCACCACACAGCCA